GGGCAAATCTACCTGACACCTTGCGAACTCCCCACGCCAGGGCAAGACCCTTAGCGCGAGGAGTGGGGGGCAATTGATGAAGGAAGATTTGGCCCGACCTCGCAATCACTCCACGTGGCAAAAACGAATAGCTCGGCACTTAAAACAACGTACCCAGGGCGCAAGCACCAAAGGAAAGAAATCAGTAGTCTGAACTCCCTTCGAGGAGCTCGACCTCCCTACTAAGAGCTCGAACTCCCTACGAAGCCCGAACTCTCCCTTAGGCCCCGAGCCACACAAAGCAGTGACCTGAACTGGCCTGCCTCATGGCAATTCGGGACACTCCCCTATCCGAACTCAAGACTTCACCTCGCACACCACTCCAACACTTTGCCTCCAGGACGCCGAACTAGACAAACCACACCGTACCTGACACCGAAGGAGTCCGTATCCAAGGGCGGCGCTCCTGACTGACTTGGGATTTGACGCTTGACAGCCGCACTTCAACGACCACCTGCCACCGCCACCTGCCACCGCCATCTCCAGTTACAGAGACGGCTCCGACAAAAAGAGCAGTGGCGGTTCTATCCCAGCAGAGGTGATGACACCTGAACTGGCAGAAGCACGGAAGTAATCATATCCGACCTAACAGAAGCTTAGGAGTGAGTGCACGAGGTGGTTATAAAAGGCTCTCTACCCCCCAAGAACAAGGTATGCAAACTTTGCGCTATCTGGTTTTATCTTGCCTTTGAAGGATTGTAACTTGAGCTTCGGAGCCTTTACACCGGATTCCCCCCGGAGCTTCCTCATATTCTCTGTTTCAGGTTCTCTGCAATTCAGTTCAGAGGCAAGATCACTGACAGCTAAGACCGATCGGATTGCGTACCATCAAAAACAGTATCAATCCTTCACAAATCCAACGGCTAAGATTTCTTTCCCAAACGCCTGAATGGTCTTTGATACATTGCCACGTTATCATTAGTCCTAAATTACAGGCTTACAGCACATTTTTGACATCTTTGTCTCATTTTCGACTATTCAAGAAAAAAAGGCTCCCAGTCCAAGGAAGCGGCCAAGTGGTTGATGGATAAAATAAAGTAATAGCCAAACAATCAGATTACATTATTATTATTATTATTATTATTATTATTATTATTATTATAAATTATTGAAACCTCTTCTACTTTATAATACAGTTGTAAGTAAAATCCTTAGAGAATAAAATTCTCTAATAAGATGGGTAAAATGACTAAAATAACTCATACAGTTAATTTTGACCAACTCATTTATTTTTCAAATTTGCCTTTTATATCAATGGCTTTCAATTTTTTTTGGAATTGGTTTATTTTTCTAAATTTGCCTTTCATATCAATTACTATCTCAAATTCTTTTAATTTCTTTTTGAGATTGATTTATTTTTCTAAATTTATCTATCAATCGCTATCCTAATTTTTCTAATTTTTTTAAATTAATTTATTTTTCAAATTTACCCTATATCAATCGCTGCCCCAAACCCTTTCAAATTTCAATTTCCTTCTCAAAATTGCTATCCCTATGTTAAAAACCACATATTTCTCATTTAAAGGGCAATTTTGTCATTTAAAAAAATAGTGATAATATCAACAAATTCAAAAGGTGATTGCAATTATCCAGGTTTAAACAATTTAATAATAATAATAATAATAATAATAATAATAATAATAATAATAATAATAATAATAATTCTTTTGCTTTATTATTATTATTATTATCATTATTATTATTATTATTATTATTATTATTATTATTATTATTATTATTATTATTATTATTATTATTATTTTGCTTTTCTGTAGTGCAGCAGCCAGCACGTGTTGCGCCTTTTTTAGTGTTTTTTTAATTTTGTTCTTTCCGTCACCTAAAAGAAAGATAAAAAGGTTAGACAACAAGGTGGTTGGCTTTAACAGAGCAGCAGCACATCACCGGAAGCGCCGCCGGAGAGAAGAAAGTGAAAGAAGGAAAACATGTGCTGCGGTGATTGTGAGTGCCGGCCTTTGGGCTTTCTACTGGGCCTTCCCTTTGCGTTTCTCTCCCTCATCGTCTCCATCGTCGGCATCATCGTCTGGATTGTTGGGTCTGTTCTTTCTATTCCTTTCTTTCTTACAGTATTCTGGGTTTGTTTTGAATATCTCGTTAAGATTTATAGATGAATCTAGAAATCAGGCGGGTTAGTAGGAAGGAGTTAGTTTGACTTTGATCTGATGATCTCTCTGATTTTGTCTCTTTCTAATTGAATAGGTTGTTGCTGAGTTGCATATGTCCGTGTTGCCTCTGCGTGACGGTCATAGTAGAGCTTGCGCTGGAGTTGATCAAAGCCCCGCTTCACGTAATGGAGTGGTTCACCTCTCAGATCCCCTGTTAGATAGATTTCAATTCCGTTCTTTTCCTTCATAGTGATTACTTTCATCTCTTGGGGTTCCCCCTTTTCTTACTTTTAATTTAATTGATGAATGGGTTGATGGGGAGGATGTACTTGTCTACAGATTTTGTTGTTTCTGATTCATATAATAGATTGTTGTTGTAGTTGGGATTGTAAGAAGAAAGTAAGGTAGAAGGAGACTTCCCCTGTCTTTTTACTCTGCCTCACTGTGAATTGTCTATGTATTTATTTTGTTATACAATTTAGAAACTTGTGGCTTTGGATTGATTTCCTGATAATTGTGAGCTTCGATTGGGATCCATGGAGTATCCCATTCTTGAATTAGCAATCTTCATATTTAATGTAGAGATGTTATCATAGGTTGAGAATTGAGAAGAGAGGATTTTCGTTGGGAAAGAGAATAGAGATGAGAAACCTTGCTCCCTCCTCTGCTTCCTCCCATTTTCTTTCGTCAATGCAAATAATCGCTGGTGATGAGGTGGTAATCGGAAATGGGAAGAAGCAGAGCACCATGTGTGGTCGGGACACGTGTAAACAAATGGAAGACTGCTTCTTCAGATTACACTTTTCACGGCTTTCGGTTTTACTGTTTCTGATAAAGCAACTGATCTACGTAATTGTGCCATTGCTTAGAATTTACATAAGTATTTTGACACCTGGCAAGGGATTACTGGAGCAAACATCATCATGGGTAGGAAGATAAGGGCGGTTGTTAACGTCCACCTGTCAGGGACTATGCAGGGTGAAGAAAACTAGAAAGAAAATTGTTTTTGCTTTTGTGCTGGTTTTCTACTAAGGTTCAAAGTATGGAAACTCAAAATGTATTGGAAAGATAATTTTAAAAAATATATTTTTCATGCATATTTAAAACGTATTTGAAGATGGAAACTAAATGAAGATGGAAATTTAAATAAATCATAAAAAATATATTAATAATATTTATAAATTTTATATGATTGTAAATAAGTCATTTATATGTAAAAAACGTATTTTAATGTTTATATAAAATGTGACATATCAACATATAATTAATAACCGGTAAAAAATGATGAAATAATTAAAATATGAAAAAAGTAAAAAAAATTAAAATGTAAATATATATACATCAATTTTTAAATAACTAATATAATTTATCTTAATATTTATTAATATATAAATTTTAATAATTAATTTCAACATTTATTAATAAGTACCGCTAAATAAATAAAATTTATTTAAAACTAAAAATATATATAATTATAATAAGCAAATTAGAGTGGTTTAATGGCAAAATTATGGTGTTAAGGTCAAGTGACCGACGACCCCCTCGTACTTTGTTTTGCGACAAAAACCCCTTTATACTATGACCTATAGACAAAAACCTCCTTCCCTTAGTCTTCCAATGAAATCCATAATTGCAATATTTTTTAATCCTCATACTAGTCTTTAAATCCATTGAAATCAATCATTGCCAATTACCGATCAACTGCACTGAACGTAATTCCCCAGCTCACCGCCTCTCCTTCCTCTCCAGCAACTCTTCCCCTTACGGCGACTCAACTGACAGATTAGCGCACCAATTCACGAGGGCCCTCTCATATCGCCTCAACCGCCCCGCTTTACACAGCTTCGTCTCGTCGGCAGCCACGGCCACTGCCACTGCAGGTGCTAGTGCCATGACCCCCCTTTCTATTGCTGATAATACTGCTATTACTCACCGAGCGCTCAGACCCATCAAACCCTCCACCGATGATCCGAATCACCGGAATAGGCCAGGGCTTAGACGCCCTTCGGAGGACCGGCGACCGCCTTCAAAGATTCGCTTAATCTCTAGGCCTTAAATTCCAATTCAACCCACTCCTCCTAAACAATCCTTCCTCCATCCCTTCTTCCTGCAGAAGCTAACCATAACCATCCCTTCTTCCTGCAGAGGTTCGTGGATACACTGGACCACTACACTGCGCTGTTTGATTCCCTTGAAGCAACGCTGCCGCCCAACGGCTAGGAAAGGCTGGCCGTTGAGCAGGTTTGGTTTGGAAAGGAGATCCTTGACATAGTGTCAGCCGACAGTACTCTACTCACCGCTCTCGTGGCTGCCGCCGCTGGGACTCGCCGGAGCGTCTGCCATGACCGTTGAAAACCTTGGCTGGCAGGGCGAGATAGATAAAAGAAAAAACTCACCTGAGACGAAAGGATTAGGAACAAAAGATTTGTATTTGGTGCGCATCGAAGAAGAATCGGTGGATTGTTTCCTCAAAGAGATCGGACGTTGGACAAGAGAGGATAAAGGAGACGACTGAGATGATAGTTTGAGCCTTCACTTTGTTTATCTACATCGTCCGTTCTTCGTTTCCTTTTATAAGCCTCTCCGCTGTTTCTGTTCTTCATTCCCTTCGGCAGCTTCGGGGGATCTCCTACACTTGTTACAGCTATGAAACCCCCCATCTCCGTGCAGTTAGACACAACGGTGATTGAGAGGGAGAGAGAAATATGGTGAGAGGAACGAAAAACAGAGGAAAGCGGGAAGAAGAAAAGGGAAGGGAAAGAAGAAAGGTCGGGGGAGAGAAAGAGAGAGGGAGATTATGGCCGCTGTTGTTTGTGTATCTAAGGTAAGAGAAGGTAAACAGTATTTTTCTAATAGTTATTATGAGAATTAAAAATATTATAACGTGCATTTCACTATTAAAAATATTTTTCTAATAGTTATTACAATTATAGTATAAGAGGACAAAACAAAGTAGGGGGGTATTTATAATTTACCATATATATAACCCTGCTGTTGTGTTACACAAGCTGAGGGGTAGCACTTCCAAAAAATGAAAACTAAATCTTGATGAATATTATTAAGATTAAAGGCTCAGTTTGGTTTGGATGGAGTACAAATATAAATATGCACAGTGCAAAACTTTACATTCTGTATGTATTTGCACTCACCCAAGGGCCGATAATAAAGTTGCATTTGCTAACCAATCCGCACCATGATTAGTCTCCTTGTAATTAATGGCTTCATTCAGCCGCATCTTCAAATCAAAGCATCCACGAACAATATTCTTCAGGCACCAAAGTGGATTGGAGAGGAATTTAAGGCAAGAGATAATTATGTTTAAATCGCCCTCAATGATGATGGGGTTGTTGGAGAAGTTCGTCGCAAGTTATGAGTCTCCCAAGCTGTTCAAGCTTCTGTCAGATTGATAGTGGTATCCCCCTAAAATGTACGGCTTTGAAGTCCACAATTTCACTATTATGATTCCTTGCAATAGAGCATTTTCCATTACTAGAACAAGAGGCATCAAAATTAATTTTGATAGTATTAAATTTTGGAGCTTTCCAAGCAACAAGTTTTCATGATTTATTTTGCCCAAGTAGGTTTCCTTTTCCTTTCGAGAGCTTTCATATTCCTTATGAGCATATAATGCTTTCTCCATGGTCATCTGAGGAGGGGTACTAGAATTATTGAAGATTTTTTGGTTTTGATTCTTCCAAATGCTCCATAAAATAAAAACACATTTCTTTTTTGCATTTAAGAACCCCACTTAAATGATTATCCTCTTACCCACCACTCGACAAGAGATGAATCAACATCATTTGGATTAACAAAAGAAGAGGGCAGCGTTCTCCATATTTGATTAGCCATTTCACAGTTTTTAAATATATGTTTCATGTCTTCATCTTCACCACAAAAGCTGCAAGCCCCATCAATATTTAATCCTTTGTTTATAAGAAAATTTCCTACATGAATGTTTTCAGTTTTGGGGGACAATTTGGATTCCAAATCATTGCATTCCAATTCAAATTTTTATTTCCATTATTGATCGAATTACATTTTATTTTATAGGCCAATTTGATAGTGAATTTTCCATCTGTATTTAATTTCTAGATTAATTTATCTTCTCTTGAGTCTGTAGGAATGAAAATAGTTCTAATTTTCTCCCATAAATTGGTGGAGACCAAAATCCTAATTTTACTCTCCCTCCAAACATTCCTTTCTATATCCATAACCTCACTCACTAAAAGCTCATTATTATTAATCATTTCTTGAGCGATAGTCTCCTTAAAAACCATATCCTCAGCCCATCTATCTTTCCAGAATCTTATTGGTCGACCATTTCCAAGCTCCCATCCTATACCTTTAATAACGAATTCTCTTGATTTGAGATACCTCTCCACGTCCAAGAGAGATTCTTTTTTACTTTCACATCCCAAAAATTATCCTTTTGGAGATATTTTCCTTTGACAACTCTAACCCAAAGGTTTTCTTTCTTTTTGAGAATTTTCATCCCAGTTTTGTTAAGTTCATTTCATTAACCTAATGGAGATTTTTTAATCCCAGCAGCCCCCACCCCCAGCATTTAGGGGTGGAGGCCTTCTTCTAGTCAATAAGGTGGAGGGGTCTCTTATCATTTGATTTTGCCCATAAAAATTCCTTTAGGCTATGTTTGGTTTGAGGGAAAAAGTAGGGAAAGGTAGAGAAACCTATACAAGTTTTATAAAGGTTTCCCTACCTTTCCCTTCCTTCCTCTACTTTTTCCTTCAAACCAAACACAACCTTAATGTTTTTCGATCTCCTCAATAATGTTTTGAGGCAGTTTAAAGGATCTTACTTGCCATAGAAAGGGAATTTCTTTTCCACCCCGCTGGTTTACTACAAACTTTTTCTCTTAAATTTACAAAAAATTTTCTTTGTAACTTGACCATTTATAACCGAAGCACCCAAATAAGTATTAGAAGCTCATTTGGATTGGAATTTTCAAAATTCTAGCCAAAATCTTTTGGAACCTTTTTGGAGTATTTTTTGAGAATTGGATTGTTGACTTAGAAAATTTTGGGCATTGTACTAAGGCAATAGCATAATTAGAAAGAATTTCTTTGATCCTCAAGCAAATAGGAATTATTGTATTAGCAAAACTAAGACAATCATCTATAAATTGAAGAATTGGAACATTAGGACTCCCTTTTGCTGCTTTACACCCGATGTTGTTCTCGCCAATTATTGATTCTTTCTTAAGTTTCACAGCAAGAGGTTCAGTACAGAGGACAAAAATGTATGGAGATAGGGGATCCCCTTGTCTAATTCCCTTAGTAGGGGAAAATTCTCTTGTTGGGCTGTCATTAATTAGTACTTGGTAGGACATTGATCTAATACATTTCATAACCATTCCACCCACTTACAGTGGAACCCAAACTTTGTTAGAATTTTTCTATGAAAATCCATTCAATTCTATCATAGGCCTTCTCTATGAATTCCTTTTGTTTGGAATCTTTGACCAAATTTTTCTCTAAAGAATGCAGATATCTCTTC